AAATGCTTAGCTAATCAGCCTTCAATGAACAGGGCTATAAAAGCCCTCTGGGTCTCGAACTCCAAGTTCAACTGAAATTGATGGCAAGGGAGAGGGAAAGAATGGAAAAAGTCATTGGTCCTTCCCACCTCCGGACGAGGCACCTTGATGCATGGGATGGAATTGGGGGGATGAGGGGGACTGGTGTTTCAAGAACAAGTGGAAATCTCCTTTAAAAAACCTCTTTTTGTAAACCCTTTATCTTCCAAACCAAGGTTTTTGGCTAAACGTCTGAGTTAGTGGATCTAACAAAATGCAGTCGATGACCCTCGGAGGTAGCCACTTCATCTGCGGGTGCCGGGCGGAGGGGTGTTGGGCTTAGAGGTGGGCAGCCTGTTAGAAGAATATGAGAAATTAGCTCAGCCGGCCAGGCGTGGCGTTCTCTCTCGTGGCCCAATTAGCACCAACCTCTGTTTCTATGTTCGAGGTAGGACGTGGCTGGTGAGTTGGGGAGAAGGCGATTTGCATTATTTGCTCTTGGAAATAGCAAGAATACTTGGCCCTCAAGACAAACCCCAGCTCCCGGCCTGAAAGCTAAGCCCAGATATGTTATATATTTATTCAAGGCAGCAATTGGCCAGGAAACGACTATAAAACACACATTTTGAATAAAAGAGAGATTTATGGTGCATTTGCGAATCTGAGTCATATCTCTGTGCCTCCCCCAGGCCAGAATCCCTCTAATCACTAACATACCCCCAGCTTGTACACTCGGTGGGCACAGAATTGCTTCCTTCTGGCCCCGTCCCGGTTAAAGATGTGATGGGGATTGTGCTACTCTATCTGACAGTCAGTAAATGAATTGCCGATTCATTCTGAGCTTAGATGGGGGCTGGTTTTTGCCTTGGGAAGAAAAAAAAGTGGGGTCCTTTCATATGTATCTTTGATCAGTCGAGACTTGACAAATTATTTTCCTAGGAATTTCTCTATCCTCAGTGCCACGGGGAAAAATGGATTTACTCTAAAAGAATAGCTTTTATGTTTCAGAAACTAGAGCAATGCAAAAGCTGTTCTTGGCTCTTTCTCTCTCTTTCTTCTCCTCCATCTCCTCCTTCTCCTGCTTCTTGCCCTTCAACTGTATTTTTCTCCAGAAAAGAAAGTAGGTAGCAGACGGAGTTGGGAAAGGCTGGACCTTTGTTTAGGGGCAAACTTGAACCTAAAGAACACCTGCATTGTGTCCCAGCAGGATTCAACCAGACTGCCACGATCTCCTGCCCATGGTTTAGACCTTCACTTCTCTGAAGGCAGAAGATCTTCAAGTCATTTCCATATCGAGGTTTTCATCAGCTGTGGTCCAACCTTAAAGGAAAGAATGTATTGAAAGTAGCAGTGGCCCTAACAGCTTTGGCTCAGTGGATAGAGTGTCAGCCTGCGGACTCAAGGGTTCCAGGTTCGATTCCGGTCAAGGGCATGTACCTTGTTTGCAGGCACATCCCCAGTAGGGGGTGTGCAAGAGGCAGCTGATCGATGTTTCTCATCGATGTTTCTGGCTCTCTATCCCTCTCCCTTCCTCTCTGTAAAATATCAATAAAATATATTTTTAAAAAAAGAAAGTAGCAGTGGTGCAGGGCTGCCAGGGATGGTTGGGCAGGTCGTCCCCAACTCCGTTCAGATAGACCCTCCGTGGAAATGATGTGCTCTGAGGGTTGTGCCACGCTCGCCTGTACAACTGCGGGTGGCAGCTTTGGAAGGGAACTCACGGGGTGAAGGAAAGATTGGAGAGCTAATTATAATAAAGGGACAATCTTGGCGATCTAGGTGGAAGGAGCTAAAAAAAGTTTAGTTGAAGACTAGACTCATGTGTATTAGCAGCTGCAGTTTATTTCTCCACTCAGGACTCTGTCTCTCAGAGGGGAGAGCAAAGAGATGGAGATGGAGATGGAGATGGAGATGGAGATGGAGATGGAGATGGAGATGGAGATGGAGATGGAGATAGAGATGAGAAGGCGATGGAGATGGTGATAGAGATGAGATGGTGATAGAGATGAGAAGGAGATGGTGATGGAGATGAGATGGTGATAGAGATGAGAAGGAGAAGGAGATGGAGATGAGATGGTGATGGAGAGATAGATGGATGGATAGATAGATACATATGGAGAGAGAGAGAGAGATAAAGAGAGACTATAACCCTCTCTTATATCAAGCATTCCTACCCTCTTGTCTAAGGGGGAAGAGCTCTTGGAGTAACAGCTTTCCTCTCTTAGTTTAGGTTTTCCTTAAAGCAGACCCTAAAACAGGGGTCTGGATGCAGCGTTTTATTTGGGTGAGCGGGTAAGAAATGAGATGAGGAAGGGAAGCAGGCAGTGAAGGGTGTGGTAGTGACAAGTCACCTCTGTGAGCAACTGGGTAATAACTGCTTGCCCAGAGAGCTGCTCTGTGAGACTCCATGAGCCCCTCTAGGAATCTGTGTAAAACCTACTCAAACTTGTCCCACCCAGGCAACAGGAAACAGGGGTATTTACAAACCAACCTCTGTCCCTCCTGTTTCATTCCCTGGCCAAGCACACCCCTGAGGCTAGAGAAGGACTTCAGGCAGAGGGACACAAAAGCTGAAGTGGGAAGTCACTGTAAGTGACCTGGAGGATGGGCCCAGGAGACAGGGCTGGGCATTCACAGTGTCTGCTGTGGTCCACCAAGACCACACACGACGCGGGAGAGAAGGAAAAAGAGAAGAAATAATGATAATGAAAGTAATAACAATAATAATTAATACTAATTCACCCTTTTATTAACTAACAGCTAGCAAGCATTCCTTCTCACCAGACAATGGGCTGAGTGCTTTATACTCATCGTCTCATGGAGCCTCATAGAGCGGCTCTCAGGGGCAAGTGCTCCTACTACCCTCATTTTGATGACTCAGTGGAGGGTTAAAGAAGTTGAGTGACTTACCCATGGTCACAGAAGCAGCAAATGGCAAAGTGAATCGTATAAACCAGGCCAGTTAGAGAGCAAAGATGAGATTCTTACAATTGCCTGGCTCAGTGTGTGTGTGTGTGTGTGTGTGTGTGTGTGTGTGTGTGTGTTGGTTAACAAGAGAATAATGGTTCACCCCAGGACTATCACCTAAACCCCCAGTGGAGACAGAGCAGCATCAGGCGTCTCCTGAGGTTGAGGTGGAACATTCCATCCTCAGTACTCGGCTGACCGGTCCTGGTACCCAGCTCTGTCACTGACCAGGCTGCTGTCACCTCTAATGACGGCCATCCCTTCATCCTCAAAGTAGAACAGGTGTCCGCCTTCCTCAGAGACCCCATTTGATCAATGACCAAAAAATGAACTAGAGTTTGTCTTACTACTTCTATTCCTAATCGCAAAGGTAATTCACCTTCATCATCACACAAAAAATGAGATTACCCAATAAAACAAAGAAACTTAAAAACTTACAGTCCCACCGCTGCTGTTATTATTGGTTGTACATTCTAACTGGGTGCTCCCCCACATAGAGTGAAGAATGCAGGTGCATTTAATATAAGTGAGAAGCTACTTGTAACTGGCTTCTTTACTTACAGTGTATCTTTAATATCTTCTTAAATCTCTTCACAAATGGATTTTCAATGGCCATGTGGCATGCCACCGTACAGGCGTACACTGATCTATTTAACCAACCCCATATTAATTAGATACTAAAGCTGTCTCCAGTTTTTATGATTAAAAAATTCTTGAGGAACTTCTCGGAAAAGAAATACTGTGGACAGTTCTGATTATTTCCATAGGACCAATTCTCCAACGTGCAATTATCAAATTAAATGATTGGCACAGTTTTAAGGCTTTTCATATATTTTGCCAAACTCTCCTCCCAAAAGGCTTATCTATTTTTATTCCAACCAGCAGTCTACAAGATATCCTACTTCCTCATTAGCAATCGGTATCATTGTTTTTAATACATACATTTGCTAAGCCAGTGAATAAAAACTATATTTAACTTGCATTCCATTGATGCAAGTCTTTCAAGCATTTCTTGAGCATCTACTGTGTTAAGTTACTTAACTGGACATTTCCATACATATTATGTCCCTTAACCCTCCCAACAGTCCTTTGAAGCTGGTGGAATATTGCCTTTTAGTGAATGAGGAAGCTAAGGCTTGAATGAGCATAGGTTGCATGCTGAGCTGTGCCACACGCCAGCTGTGTGACCTTGGGGTGTCCTCACCTCTCTGAGCTCAAGAAGACTAATAACCTGAATCTCTGGAAGTTCTGGTGACCCTACTGCCCCATCACTTGGAGTCCCACACTCTAGTGCTCTGTGGGGACACAAAGGCCATTGACCTAGTTTCTCCATTTACTTGGAAAAAAGCCGAACCGTCATTTCTTTATAATAAATTCACACTTCTTGGGGATTCTTCCACTCAGAAAAGTCCCAGGGGATCTGATTCAATGAATAATTTGTAATCAACATGCCAGTTATTCCTGTTTTAAGGGGATGTGACATTCTTGATCATTGGGATTTTTTTAAAAATTTGCATAACTAATTTACTCACCAATTCGCTGCTCTGTTCTGCCCCATATGTGTTACATAGGACCAACTCACTAATCCTAAATTTGTGGGTTTTAAGTAAATATCCATTGATGGTCCATAAAGTTGCGTGCTTTGGGACCTCCCAGATACTTGATTCCGGAAATTAATTCAAAGAAAGAGACCCTTCAGAAGACCAGGTGCTGGGTGTTACCTATAGCATGCCCGGTTCATTCCTTGGTCAGTTGGAATTCCTGGCGGTTTTCCTTTTGCAATGCTGACACACATTCAGTGAAGCCAAATGCCTCCCCTCTAGGGCTGCAGGCCAGTGGATAGACATATTCGGCTCTATCACACTCAAGCAAAGGGTTCTAAATAGCGTGAAACGAGCAAGAGAGAGCAGATGGGGCCAAAAAGCCACTGTAAGACCACTCCTTCCTTCCTCTACCTCGTTCCCTTCTATCCCGTCAGTAGAAAGAACAGAAAAAAAAATGGGTGTTCAAGTCCCTTGTACTTTTTTAAGCACATGGTATTTATTAGGCATTAATTGGCACACAAATATACGAAACGAGTACTTAATTCTCCCCCTCCCCCCCTTAGCAACATAAAAGGACAAAATCGCTTGAAGACACTCACGTACAAACATACTCACACACTCGCACGGACTTGGACATACTCAGCCTCGCATATTACCCTGTTCTTTTTATTAGGGTCAGTTAAAAAAAAAAGAATTTTTTTTAATCAAGAAAGCAAAGCACTTTCGAAAGAGAAAAAAAAAAGAACGCAAACTTGGTTTTTGAGTATCAATAAAATTAAAAGCTCTTGACCAGCTCCCATGCTGGATTTCATGTTATTACTTAATTAGAACTCCTATTTATAAATAAATAGTACCAGTAAAATATTACATCTGAAGAACCCTGCAATAACGTTTTACTTACACACTTTTTTTAACACTGTTTTCTGCTTTCCATAACCACAGTTTGGTGTCGGCATTGGGTGTGATTCCCTCGGAGAGAATGATGGATGAGCACGGTTTGCCTCTTCTTTAGACGTTGTGGCTTTGGCTTTGGCATCCCGTTGGACCGTCGGGAGCTTTGCAGGCTGGGGGCTGGCTTTGTTTTGTAGCAGGATGAATATTGACTTTGGCTTTTTCACCACTCTTGTCAGCACGGAGCTTGCCCTTTGCTTATCACAGTTCTGCCCGCGTGTAACCCAGGGCTCTTTAAGTTTTTCAAAGCAAGCTTTCCGGCTGGGAAGCTATAGGCCACGTTTTAGCGACAGATGGCTGGGAAGACCCGGAGCTGGGAAGACGGGAGCGCTGAGTCAGATATGATGCCAGGTGGAGCCCAAGGTTATCCTGACTCCCCAGGGAGGCAGACTGGGCTCCATGGTGACGGGGAAGGCAGGACACAATCAGAAAAAACTGGGGACATAAGGGACCTTTTCAAAAACATCCCACGGCAGAGGTAGGTCATTTCTCAGTCAAGGGGAGGGTGGCGAATTTTGGTTTTAGGGGTGGCTTAGAGGAAGGGAACTCCACAAGTACATACTTTGAACTTGCCTCAGACCTCCCCCAAGATAAGGGACTGGGTCCCGTTAAGAAAAATTGAAAGAAAAAAAATATATTATTATTTATTATATAACAATGTCAACATTAACAGCAAGACAGGAAAAGCTCCAACTCTGCATTAGGATAACACACTCGATGAGGCAAGACTTGCTGGAGACCAAAAGAAGGAATCCGGGAGGCCCTCCGGAGGTGGTGTGAATGTGGCCCATGGATGATTGTGGTGGTTGTGGTGGGAATGGGACTCACTTTTGTTGTTGTTGTTTTTTTTTTAAGTTTTGAGACGAAATGACAAAGTCACATTTTTTGAACTGTGGTTTCAGGCTACTGATTAGATCAGTGTCTGGGGGTCTCAAGTGCAGGCGTGAATGTGGGGTGAAATGAAATACCTTGTCTGTGGGGTTCTCTCGCCTACTGTCTCTCTCCTGTTCTCTCTCTCTTTCTCTCTCTCTCTCTCCTCTCTCTCTAGCAAATGTCTGTTAAGGAAGCAGGCTTCGCTTTAGCTATTCTCGCTCCACTCTGGCACCATGCCAACCCCATGCACCGAGTGGTACTGGTGTGGGGACAGGGTCCTTGGCACGCCATGGGAGTAGAGGAACTCAGATGGTTGCAGGCCGCCAGGGGACTGCAGGCCAGTCTGAGGCCCACATTGCCTGACCACAGGCTGGTGGGCCACGGAGGTCTGGTGCTGGAACATCCCCTCCCCGAGCTGGGGGGAGCCGTGGTTGGCGATGCCAGCCAGCCGGGGGACCAGAGGCCCCGAGGTGAAGTGAGCCGAGAAGTGTTGGTAGGGTAGCCTGTCCATGGGCTGCACGGTGGTGACCGTGCAGCTGCTGTAGGAAGGCATGCTGGGCCACGTGTTGCAGCTGATGTCCTCCAGGCTGGGCACAGGCTCGCTGGGCGGCGCGGAGCTGGCATACATGCAGGCCTGGCGCTGGGCTGACTCTGTCCTGTAGGAGGCACTCAGGCCCTGCTGCTGGGGGTAGCTGGGGCGATAGAATGGGTCTTCTTCGCTGGGCGATGTCTCCATGTAGGGCTTCTTGTAGGGATGGTCTGCGGTGGAGCATTCTTCATCTGCTAAGACAGGAGGAGAGAGACCCATGAGGCCAGGACCAGCCACCCCACAACTAAAGGCAGAAACAGCCATTTGGCTGAAGGCCTGAAGAATCAAGTCTCTTAAGACTGTAAGCCCAGGCCTCCATTCTGATACGAAGGGGTGGACTGTCATGGGGAGGACCTTGGGCTGTGGTGTTCTAAGCAAAGTCTGACCTTTCTGAACTCAGTTTCTTCATCTGCAAAGCATAAAGGTTAATAATGGCATTTTTCTACACAGGGAATTGTTGAGAATGAAATGGGAGAATGTGTATTAGTCCAGAACTTGGTACAAGGACACACTCAATAAATAAGAATTATTGTTATTTATTATCTTCCCTCCCTGGCTTGTAAATTCCACGAAGGCAGGGCATTTCCAGCACCAGTTCACACCTAGTAACAAAAATAATAATAAAGTCAACACTCACAGTAGAAACAGCACGTGGAGTGTTTTAGGTACCCTCCATGAGATAACGCATTTAATCTTCACGACAGCCCTACGAGATGGGTCCTATTATATCCCCATTCTCCAGAGGAGAGAAAGGAGACACCAAGAGGTTGATAAACTTGCCAAGGGCTCATATGGCTGAGAAGCAGGGGAACTAGAATCAGAATCCAAGTAATCTACCTTCGAAATCTCTGCTAATACCATGCAGTACGGAGAAGACACGCAATAAACATTTGTGCAATGAATGGAAGGGTGGATGGGCAAGTGGACAAATGGATGGGAGCTCAAATGAATTAATTTCCAAATCCTTTCCTGAAGCCTTATGCAAGCAAGTGCCTAGTTAATATCTGCTGAGTCGGTACAAATTAATGTGTGACTGTTTTGCTGCTAATCAAGCCACTTTGTTCACTAGTGTTCCCTAGTGGGGGAAGGGGGATAGTTCTGACCACTTCAAGGTCACAGACCCCTCTGGAAACTAACAAAAGTGCTGAGCTCTCTCCTAGAAAAATACACAAACACAAAGCTTGGAGAATGGAGTACACACACAACTTCCAGGGCCTCAACAACTCCCTAAATCCAGACTCCAAGCTAAGAAGTCTAGATGTGTCTGGGTTTGAATCTGGCTCTTCTACTTCATATCTGTGCCACACCAGCATTTCAGAGACTAATTTTCACCATCTCTGAGTCAGAGTTAGGAATACTTACTCCACTGGATGGCGGAGAATTAAATGAGATGAGACATCTTCAAGGGCACCAGTCAATCCCGTGGCAGACCCGATCTATAACAACACACCTCCAGGTGCTCCCTTCAGGGGAAGAGGAACTGGGGGATTTCTCCCCAAGTGTAAACCTCAACCCAGATTCATCCTTTAGCTGGAATTCTACCCTCAAACTGGAGATTGTCTTTCTTTGTCTTCCAATTGCTTTCTAATCAATAAATGTTAAGAAATATTTCTGTCTTGCCCTAACCCAGTGGTTCTCAACCTTCCTAATGCTGCAACCCTTTAATACAGTTCCTCATGTTGTGGTGACCCCCAACCATAAAATTATTTTCGTTGCTACTTCATAACTGTAATTTTGCTACTGTTATGAATCATAATGTAAATATCTGATATGCAGGATGTATTTTCATTGTTACAAATTGAACATAATTAAAGCATAGTGATTAACCACAAAACAATATGTAATTATATATGTGTTTTCCGATGGTCTTAGGCGACCCCTGTGAAAGGGTCGGTCGACCCCCAAAGGGGTCGCGACCCTCAGGTTGAGAACCACTGCCCTAACTGGTTTGGCTCAGAGGCTAGAGCGGCCTGCGGACTGAAGGGTCCCAGGTTCGATTCCAGACAAGGGCATGTACCTTGGTTTCGGGCACATCCCCAGTGGGGGGTGTGCAGGAGGCAGCTGATCGATGTTTCTCTCCCATCGATGTTTCTAACTATCCCTCACCTTTCCTCTCTGTAAAAAATCAATTTAATATATATATATTTTTTTTCTTTTTCCTGTCTTTAAGGGGGTTGGTGAAGAAAAATGAAACACTGGGACACCCTGCCACTCACTGTGATGGTGGATGACGTGAGGGCAGGACGCAGATTCAATGATGGGAGGGAATAGCTTTTACTGATTGAGCACTTACTAAGTGACCTTACTCTAATCTCATAGTAATTCCTCCATGTGGCTCCTGCTTGGGGAAGTGACCCACCCAAGGTCATGCAGCTGGGAAGGACAGAGGCTGGAGTCAAAGCCAGGGCTGGATGACTCTGTCTACCACACTTGCTTCTGGCTCTCTAGATTTCCAATATCCAACGCTACTCACCTAGTCGGTCAACAGGTGTTCATGGGACCCTACCAAGTGCCCGGTCCTGTGCCAGCTGCTGGAGACAGAGTGGTCAACAGGTAGTCATAGCCCTACTCTTGGTACACGTCCTTGGCCCCTGTCCATTCTCCCCTGAGCAGTGAGGATGGATGCTGACCTGTGATCAGGAGGTGGTCCTCAGATAGGAAGCTCTAAGTCAGTCACTCCTCCCACCGTAAATCCTTTGACCTTGGTCTGCATTACAAAACAGCTCTCCGGCCAGGGTAGGGGAGCCTGGGTTCCACCCAACACCTCCATGTGCGTCATTCTCCCAGTGACACCCAGAGGTAAGTCAAAAATCTCCCAAACCAAACATAGCTAGGGCTGTACCCATCGAGCAGCCAGCAAATTTATGTTCAGCGAGACTCCTTCTGGGACACATCTGGGACCCATAGGACAACCAAAGATTTGTTCCCCCAAAAGTGAAAAAGGTACCCACCCTTCCACGTGTCTGTCTACGTCAAGCCAGATGTTGAAGACATGCAGAAGAGGGTGACCGCACTGTCCACCTTTCAGCTGGGCGTTCTTTGGCGCCTTAAAGACATGGCCACACTCCACTTTTTTGTCCTGGTCACTTCCTCCCTAGATTTCTTCCCTCCATTCTTCCTCCCCCCCCCCCCCAGATCCATAACTCTGGATGTTTCCATTGTTGCTGGAATCAGAACCTTCGGGTTTTCCATTTAACCAGGGCGTTCCCCTTTTTAATAATAGCAAGTACAGCTGCAGGGTACCCTTGGCAAGAGGGGGGAAAAAGGCAAACTAACCATTCCCAAGTTTCTGATCCGCTTCCAGGTTTGTTACAAGTCAAAAAAGGAAGAATAATATGAAAAAGGCTGGAGCTCATTTTGGAAAATCATAAAATTACACATTCCAGTCTTTAATACTCCAATGATCCGCTGCAGAGTCCGAAGAAGACTCGATACTGGCTCATTGATGAAAGCAGGTCCGAGCATTCTCAAATTCCTCTCGAACCTCACCGCATTGTAAAGACATTCCGAAGCAAGCGTCCAACTTCAGGTTGTGATAAATGCTTTGGATGTCATCTTCGTTTTTTGGGGTTTTTTTTTTTTTTTTTTTTGGTTATGGTTTGGTTTCTGCCTTTTTACTGGGAACCACCGTAAATGATCAGCAGCAAAAGATCTCTCTCCCTGCCAAGGGATGAGGGGCTGTAGTCTCGGGTCAAGTCCCGGATGAGATGAGTCCACAGCTTGGTTTCAGAAAGGTGTGTGGGAAGAGTGGTCCTGCACCCAGCTGAGTGCCGGAGAGCAGTAAAGCTCTTCCGGATCCTGCCCACCGCTCACGGCACAGCGCCGGGGCAAACCTGGTCCCTTGCATTTCTCTGGACGCTATTGATTCTGGAAAAAGTGGCTTTAATGATGAATCCAGAACAGGGATTTTTAGGGCACAGAGTTATGTCTTTGGCTCTTGCTGGATATGTGACCTTGGACGAACCACTGGGACCATTTGGATCTCAGTTCTTGACTGTCCATGACAATAATGCAGAAACTCCATCAGGAATGGAGTTGTTAATAAGCAGTCTGTCTAGCTTTCCTGCACATAAAGGAAGTGTTTAAGTCTTATCTGGCTTTCCCCACTTAGAAAGTTGGGCAGACGGCTCGGTGAAGGTCATCCAATACCTGAAGGAATTTGGGTGGATCCCAGAGCTGGGAAACATTGGGCTGCGTTCACATCACTAATCCCATTGAGCCGATATTGCCACCATCCCACGTGGGTCATTTCCCTTGGCGACAGTTCGTTCAGCCCGAGCCCCCAGAGGTAGAGTGGTGAGCAGCCCCTGCCGGGCTGAGTGACCTTCAGCAACTCTAAGGTGGGGCTATATCCAGGCCTGACTCACCTAACAGTGCTCTTTCAGCTGGACAGCCCAGCCTTTCAGCTTTCATGAAACTCCTGTTCAGATGGATGGATGGGTGGAAGGGAGGGAGGGAGGGAGGGTGATGGGTGAGTGGGTGGACGGATGGGTGGATTTTAGCTCTTGGCTTACAGTAGAAAGGACTGGAATGCTGTTGTGGGACTACCCTTGATTAGGAATCAAAAGACTCCAGCTCATACCTCACTCAGCCCTTATGTGAAGCCACTGGTTTACTTGCTGACCTGCCTCGCCCAATGGAACACGAGTTTCATGGGGGTGGGGCTTTGCCATCCCGCCCTTCTCCCGAGCACCGTGCCCAGTGCCCAGTGCCCAGTCAGTATAAGCCTGATGATGCAGCCCAGGTCTGCCCTCGCCGCCACTCACCTCAGCGGTCTAGCCCACCTCCTAGTCCTCTGCTTGCCCTGCAGAATCGGCAAGAAGGACGTGTCCTCTGGCTCGAGGAGCAAAGGGAGGATCCAGTAAAGAAAGCCACGTGAAATCGCTCTTAAAGGCACATCACACTGAGAAAACGCATCCTGCGAAATCACTTACTATATGCAATGCCCCTGCCCTTGCTCCTCTGGCTTCCCTTTGAATATCCAGTGCAGTAAGCGGCTGGCCTGAAATCTGTATTTGCGTTGCCTTGGGTTTCTAGTGGGGTGGGGGGCTATCAGGGTAGGAGGGGGAGGAAGGCGGACAAGTGCTCTCCCAGGCCCCGGGGTCCTGGCTGTGGTTGAGTGGCGTTGATAAAAGACCTTCCCGGCTCCATCCATCGGGATAGATAGTTTGGAGACAGCTGGGCCCAAACACAAGGAGCCCTCTGGCCTGCCCGGCCCTTTGACATTTCATTGCACCGGCCTCCTGGGCTCGTTGGAAGGGAGACAGACAATGAGGGGAAGTCAGATAGTGAGTGGGGCAGGCAGGGGCCAGGGGAAAGCCACCCATGGAGTTATCACTTAACGGGAATCCCAAACTGGAAGGAAACCTCCACTGATTCCTTATCACTTCACAATGGAGGCTGATGATGAATTGCTTTTTGTCGTCTTGAGGCAGGAGGACAGACAGAGCTTGGCTGGAATGTTGCCTGTCCCTGGGAGCTTTCCTTTGGGGGCAGAGGGAGGTGAGAAGGGCAGAGGTTTCTGGAAAGGTGAAGGGAGCCCTGCAGGGTGTGTCCCATGCACCCCCAGTGCATAGATCGCAGTGTGGATGGATTGGGGGCGGGGCCACTTGCCAGCTGGGTGACGCTGGGCAGGTTACTCAACCTCTCTGAGCCTCAGTTTCTGCATCCGTGAACAGGGTAATTCTTCACCTCCTTATCGCCAGCCCGTCACTGCATCCTGGTTCCACCCACATCTCCTGCCCTTCTCCCCGCATCCTGGTCTGAGCCACCATCAGCTCACTCCCGAGCCCCTGACCGCCTCTCAACCGAGCTCTGGTACTAATTCTAGCCCTGCCTTTCACAGCCGAGTGACACCCCAAACGAACCGAGTCCTGTCACGCTCAGTTTAAACCCCTCCAATGGCTGCCCGTTGGTGTTCAGATAAAAGCTAAAGTCCTTCAAATGGCTCACAAGGGCTGGCTCCGTACTGGCCCCTGCCCTCCCCTCACCGAGTTCCAGCCTGTCAGTCACTCCCCGAGGGGGGTGGGCCCATCTTTGTGCCTGACACTCAGTAACACCCTCTTCTCCTATCCAATGACTCAGAGCTAAAATTCTCCCCCGACCCCCTAGGCTGATACCCCTTCATGTTCATAAGCACTTTGTGTATCTCCTTTACGGCATCGATCGCCATTTCCCCCAAACAATCGTGTAATGATGTCACCACAGTGTCTGATCTGCCGGGACGATGAGCTGCATCAGGGCGGGACGGTGGCGGCTCACGCTCATTGAGCACTTACTAGGTCAGGTCCTGTTTTGGGTGCTTTATGTGGATGATCTCATTCCGTCCCCTAACAAGCCCACAGGGTGGGAACTGTTATTATCCCCATTTTGCAGAAAAGGTAGTTGAGGCTCAGGAAGTCAAAGCATCGTGCCCAGGGCCACACAGCGGGAAAGCGTCAGCTATGGCGCTGTCTTGCAATGGACCAGCCACCAACGCCAGCCTCCATCTGAAGTTGACCATGTGTTCACGCGGGGATCCCGCCAAATCCCCCGTGAAAGTCCACGGCTCCCGTGATCGAAAGCGGGTCACCGGCCAGGAATGCACTTATAAGGACGCTGCTATAAATACTGGACTGAAAAAAGCGCCTTGATTCTTTTCAACTTCTTCCTCCTCTTCTTTCGTCTGGCCTTAATTTAATAGGCAGAGCTCCCTAATTCAAACCTGCTGAGCTCTTAATCAGCGCGCTTGACCCAGTCCCGCGAGCAAATCTGCAGCGGAGGATGCCATTTTGAGGTTGTAGCTGATAAGAGAAGGTAACACTATAGCGCAGTGGTTGGGGCCCAGGCAGAGTCTGCAGACCTGGCGTGGGTTCAAATTCCACCTTCGAGAACCGCCAGCCTGTGATTTTACCTTTCTGAGCCTCGGTTTCCCCACCTGTAACATTGGTTCATGGAAGCACCTACTTACTAGTGTTGCTGAAAAGGTTGCGGTCTGGAACCTAGGCAGGGCACCTTAGGTATAACAGGAAATAGGTGCCCGGGCAGGGACCTGCTCCATGAGACACTCCTCACCCTGCTCTTGCCTGAAGACGCAGACATGTTTGCAGGCATCTGGTCTGCAGCCCATCCGGCAGCGGACCTGTGGGAGTCGGGCCAGGGGCCTGGTGGGGTGATACTGTTCAGGCCTTTGAGATCCAAGGAGCTTGGATGGGCTTCAGGTAAATCCGGAGCCCTCGGCCTCACCCAGGTCAGCTCCCCAGCCTGGGCTTGGACCAAACACAGCTCTTCCCTCCTTCAAAGTGCAAGATGAGTAAATGTCACATCGCCAACCCCATCAGTTTCCTCATGTAACCCCGGCTCCAGAGAGAAAGCCACCAAAGGATCGTTTCCATTGGTTCTAATTACTGAGTTGTGTGTTTTTTAAAGGGCCAAACACTGGGCACTGGACCTCCAAAGGCATCGTGCTGGCTGCTGAGGCTAAGGCTAGGGTCTGGGCCTGCCCGAGCGAAACAGTGACTCAACCCTGTGCTATTGAGTCAACCCTGCGCTAACACCAGCTTAATAGCACGACATCGTCACACCAAGCCTACGAGACAGGTCCAGTCATAAGCCCTTATGGTCAGATCTTTTTTTAAAGGAGGCATAGAGGAGCCCTGGCCAGTTTGGCTCAGTGGTTGGAGCGTCGGCCTGTGGACTGAAGGGTCATGGGTTCGATTCCCAGTTAAGGGCATGTACCTCAGTTGCAGGTTCAAACCCTGGCCCTGGCCCAGGCGGGTGCGGGAGGCAATCAGTCGATGTTTCTCTCTCTCTCTCCCCCGCCACCTCCCTTTCACTCTCTCTAAAAATCAATGAGAAAAATATCCTCGGGTGAGGATTAAATAAATAAATGAGGCCTAGAGGAATTAAGTAACAGGCTCCTAATCACGAAAATTTGCACCTGGCAAAGGTAAGATTCCTCCCCAGTTGTCTGATTCTGCAGACCCCGGGCATAAGCACGAGGCTAGATGGCCCCGTCCCTGTGTCTGTTTTCTCAAGCCTCCGCCGGTGAGCGGCCTTCTCTCGTTCCCCCCAGCACACGCTTTCTGGAGGGAGACCTGCCACTTACGCGATCACAGCCACCACTTCCTGGGTGCTCACAGGGTCAGGTGCTGCAGGAAACAGCGCCATTTACGAAGCAGGAAACTGGGACACCTGCCTGGGGCCACACAGGAAGCTGGTGGGAGAGGTGAGACTCGAGCCTGCGTTTCCGTGGCCCCATTGCCTGCCCTGTCCTCACCGTCTACAGTTCACACCAAGCGATGGTTCCAGTATGCTGAGCTCAACCACACCGCCATGGCACCTGCTTCGGTTCTGGCTCCAAAAAATGGGCCACCAAAAATTCCCTGCCTTAATCTAGTCCCTTTGGACTCAAGTGGCTGAGGAAAAGTCATCCATTTCTTATTTGGCAAAGGAAACTATGATGTCTCAGACATCAGTAGATTGGAAAAAGGGATGCAAAGAGGAAGAAAAATCAGTTGTGCCTTTTTCTTTTTTCCTTTTGTGCTGATTTTGATCTGGAGAGGAAAGGAGAGCTCAGAATCCCCCTGGGAGAAAGCCTGGCGCATGCACTAACGAGGCACATCCAATCAGGACCATCCCAGCAGCGTGGCGTGTGATGCACCGGGAATGCTGGCAGCAGCCTGCCTGTCCACTCGTGGGAGTGGCCAGATTCCCAGTTAAGGGCATGTACCTCAGTTGCAGGTTCGAAACCCTGATCTTAAATCACCCTAATCTGAATAGCTTGCTGCTCTGTGCCTTAGGATTTCCTTTTGAGCTGCAGTACTTCCTCCTTCTGAGGCAGTACTTCCTCTTCATCACTTAAAAAAAATGAGGCAGCTCCAGCTTCAGACATCCACAACGTACTCTGAAGTTTCAAAAAATGCAACTTGCGAAATACAGCTTGATATCAACTGCTAAACGTAAGCACAAAACTGTTTTTAGTTCTGTGTGTGCGTGTCTGTAAATGAGTAAAATAGGTCTGGACCTTTTGAATTCGTGTTCCCCGAGGAAGGGGCTAGAACTGGGGGAGGAAATGTTTAGCTGGTATGGTTTTAATTTCTTACAATCTCTATGTATGTTTGTATTGTTTGCATTTCCTAAAGAAATAAATGTAGTTGTGTATACTTTTTTTTCCCAAGGAAAGGGAAGAAGTAGAGAAAGGCCCACCGGGCAGGGGATGCCACACTTACCTTTCCTCTTGGTGCAATGGTAAATCTGGCTGTGCTCCTGGGGCAGTGGGTACGGATTGGGTGGGGGCAGAAGGTCCTGGGAGGGTCCTGACACACCATTCTCGCACTGGTACTGGGACCCCAAGTTGGATGAGGTGGAGAGAGCTCGAGGCTCACTGCTGAAAGGGCTGTGGTTGGAGGCCACTTTCTGTCTCACTGTGCTCCTGGGAACCACGGGATATTCTTTACTGAAAGAGAGAAGATGGGAAATAACATTGATCACTGCTCTGGTACAGATCCCCCCACTGGCTGAACCACAAGCCATCGAATCCACCAGAAAAATCACAGAATAAGAAACAAAGGGGTCTTTGATGAGCAAAGTGATCCAATTATACTCAAGTACATCATGTGTCTTGGATATACATATTTGGGCACTAACTTTTCATGCCTTATACAGTAGGCAAGTAGGTTTATGAATACAGAGAGGTAAATGGGTCAGGAATGGTGGCTGATCACTAGGATAGTCAGGGATGACCCTAAATTACCCTAATCTGAATAGCTTGCTGCTTTGTGCCTTAGAATTTCCTTTTGAGCTGCAGTACTTATCACCACTGACTTAATATTTCACTTCTCCATGCCTTCATTTTCCAATGGATATAATACAGATCCCCAGTTCAGAGGGGTGTGGAGAGAAGAAATGGCTTAATACAGTGAGAAACTGAATAATAATGGGCACATATGAGTGCTCAACAAATGACAACCATCATTGTTAATAGAATTGGTTTCCTTGGCAATATATGCATTTTATTGTATGCATTTAATCATATTATTCTGAGGAGTAATCCACAGTGTTCACCATGGCAGGGACACACAGGTTCAGAATCCCTTCCCCAGAAGAAATATGTATTAGTAAACCCCAAACGTCCTCGTGCTTTTTATCATGACCCCGAACCAACTCTTCTTTAACTGAGTGCATTTTTTAAAATTAAGTTTGTATCCAAATAAGTTTAGCCTCACTCTGAGCAATATCCATGAAATTATGGGCTTGCAATGCTAATTATGTTTCCTGTAATGCTGTTAAAATAAATCCTTTCCTATTGAAATTGAAGAGTACAGCTGAAATCATCCCACGGAAGAAAACACTACACCTAACACATTTTTGAAGGATGCTTCATTAACCCATTTTATCCTCTCCATGACTGTAGGAGTGGGTGCTGTTCTTGTCCCCATTTTACAGATTAGGAAACTGAGGCCCGGAGAGAGTAAGCAACTTGCCCATGTTCACAGAGTTATAAAGAGAGCACCCGACACCTAATCCAACAGTCCCCTTAATGATTTCTAGACAATCTCCTAATTACTCCTGTCAATATTTAAAACACAATGTGCTTTTAGGGGGGCAGGGGTGTGGAGTTCACCACTCCCACCCCCAGGGGTGTAACAGCCCCACTCTGGGCCCCTGCCTTTGTTTGTCATGTGAAAGCACGTCAGAGTGGCCAGGCAGGGACATAAAGTGTCTGCCAAGTTTCCATGAGGCTCCAGACACCCTCAGGACACCCAGGGGTCTCCTCGCCCAGTTTTCCCGTGGCATGTGCCATCTCAAAACCAAAGCTGGAGCCATCCTGCGCAGCCACACCACTCAGAATCTCTCCCTGGGGCCCGCAGGCTGAAAGGAATGAAATTAGCTTTATAGTTCTCGCTTTGCGGCTCCAGCTACGTCATGGAAAATGAAGACGAAGAATTGTAATAATAATAAAACATAAAAGCTGTCAGATCTTGCTGGCAATACCGTTTGGGTCTGCTTAGTAGAAGGGCTGGGCTGACGGAGCTCCCCAAGAGGAGGGGAATCTCTCTTAGTTGTATATTCTTAATGGAGATGGCTTTTTCTTAAAGAAAATAACTCCCAAAATTGTTGGCTGAAGGAGTTTACAAGAGAAGGCATCAATGGGCTCTGAGGAATTCTACATTCTGGCATTGCCAAATTGCAAAATTACTGTCTGGGAAGGGCAAATCCTGCCTTTGATTACTAACATGCACAGAAATGGGAAGCCATTTCACCCCAATAACCTCTTGTCCCTCACAGCTTCCTTCTCGCCAAGGAGCTTGAAACGTCATCCCCACCATCCATCACTCACATCTCGGTGCCTGAAATACAAGGGCTGCAAGCCCATCTGACAGGTGTCAAAACAGAGGCACGGCAAGGTAAGTGACGTCTCCATCGTCATGAGCCGATAGAGGCGAAGGGACAAAATGCTACCACCAACAGCATGCGGGCAATTTCCACTGGGCTCCTCAATGGACCAATCAAAGGAACATGATGAGTAGCAATGCAGTGAAAATCTCTAAAGTGCTTGTGATGAAGAGAGAAATTACATTCCTCCACAGCTTGAGAGCATTATTGAAGAACCCAGGGCACAGAGGATTAAAGTGAAAGTTGAAAAGCCTTGTGTTTCTGGAAAGGAGGGCAGCAACAGAGGGCTGGTGTTTCATCGCCATACCATCATCATCACCATCACCATTATCATCACCACCATCACCATCACCATCATCACCACTACCACCATCACCATCACCATCATCACCACTACCACCATCACCACCATCATCACCATCACCATCATCACCACTACCACCATCATCATCATTGTCACCATCCTCCTCCTCATCTTCCTCCTCCTCATCCATGTTGTTCTGTGTCTTCTAATGTCCCAGCCACTGTACTGGTTGACTTACATACTTTCCCTCATTTGATCATGGCAAGAACTCCATTTCATCAGTATGATTAGATTTACTTTAGAGAAAGCATGTCAAACTCGTGACACGTGGGCCACATGTGGCCCACAACAAATATTTTTGTGGCCCAGCCAATATAACAGTATGTAAGAAACATTTTAATAATTTTGTAACTTAATTTTTACAATATCCTGTTATACATAATTATTAATAACGAACTACAGCGTTCACTAATGACTGATTATATAATCGTGTTGCATTCATTTCCCTTACACGCCTTACGTGCAGGCGCACCACTTCTCTCCACTGTTACTAGCAGCGAATATTTTAGCAGCTGATGGCCACGTCATTAGTCTTGGACTGACTTGTTTGGTGTGCACAATAGGAAATATTTCACTTCCGGAGAACAAGAAAAATAGGTTTATCTGCATTATGCTTATTCATTTGTGCAGTTATTCAATGTCTGGTAAGTTAATGTTCAAGAAAAAATTAATTTTTATCAAAATGTTCTATTTTATGTTAACGAGTACTCATTTATTTCAGCCCTTTGTATTCAGCATGTCTCTATCGAAATAAACCTATGTTTCTATGAAAATTGAAGCTTTTGCTTTTTCGCGGCCCACATCAACTTAAACCTTGTGTATTTTGTCTGTGTTAGCCTTTGAGTTTGACATGCTTGCTTTAGAGGTAAAGAAATTAAGCTGCAGAGATGTTAAGCAACTTGCCCCAGATCACACAGCTAAGAAGAGGTAAAGCTGCGCTCCAGCCCGGGTCAGCTATTCTAAAGATCTTGCCAACGTACACTTGGCAATAGGAAATTGCTGCCTTCACATCGACTGCGTGGGCAACACAACGTCCTGTGAAAAAAGCTTCCTGGTGATAAGAGAGTTGGGTATTGGCTACCCCCGGGCAATATCAAGTTCTGCCGGCCAATCTGCTGATCCTACTGTTTGAGGAACTTATTTTACCGTCAAATCCCACCGCTCTCGCTGTATCAACAGCTGTGCCTACATCCTGCCAGCTCGCTCTGCGGAATCTGGGCTCCCAGGACACCCGCCGAGTCCTGAGCACCTCGTTCCACTCTGGGTGTCGGAGCCCGCAGACCAGCCTCTCCCGGGCCCTCACATTCTGTTCCACGTGAGTGAGTGCAATGAATGACGCCATTGTTGCCAGGTCTGGGTTGTAAAACGTTACAAGGGAATATTGAGATCCAGGGCCAAACTGCACCCACAGCGTGCCGCCAGCTAACGAACGCCCCTGAGAACCTTTTTCCACCGCAGCGTCTGAATTGGCCCTTTCACTGGAGCAGGTGGCCGCTGCTGGCGAGCGCGGAGCTGGTGTTGTTGTTGTGCCCTGCGCTGCTTACTCAGTGTCTGGCAGCCTTTCTCAAACAAGCAGGGCAGCGGGCAAGGCCAGGGACTGTGGCATTCCTGTTCTGGGGTGGCGGGGCGGGGGGGCGGATTCCTCGGGCCAGCACTGGGTCTGCGATTAAAACTCACGAAGGGCCCACAAGCCCGCCACAGCTGTTGCGATGATTAACTCTCTACTCTACTGTGCTTGGGGAAGTTATTCTGATGTCATGTGTGGACATGCGAGGAACGGGGTGCTTCACCCAGGTGGGACTTTGCTCAGTGCAATAATCACCCTCTCCTTCCCATCTACATTTGTTCTATTACTTGGTTCACACCACACTGGGTTTGGGATTCAGTCCCCAGTTGGGGTGCGTACCAGAGGCAATGGATCAATGTTTCTCTCTCACATCAATGTTTCTCTCCTCTCTCTCTCTCTCTCTCTCTCTCTCTCTCTCTCTCTCTCTCTCTCTCTCCCCCCTCTCTTTTCCTTCCTCTCTCTAAAATAAAACAAAACAAAACATATCCTTAGCCAAGGAAGAAAAATAAAGAAAGGCTTGGCATACATTTGGGACACACTGCTCAATAACCACCACCTTATAAATCACACATGACTGTATTTTGAAGCAGTTCTTATCTTGCAAGGGCTTCGAATGGTCTATGACCAGCCCCCTCCCCCATTTATCAGATATTTAGGGCTTGTCTGTGTCCTAGGGAGTGGTCCATCCTGGCATCAGCCTCTTAGAAGGGTCTGTAATTCACACAAGAAAAGGTTGTGAGCGACACTACAGGGGTGGCTCTGGAGTCACAGGGCAAGTCCTGAACCAGCTGTGTGGAACAATCATGACATCTCCCTTCGCCTCAGTTTCTCCATTTGCAGATGGGGCAACAAGACCCGTGTCCCATGTCACAGTTGCGAGTCCCCGAAGCAAAAGCTGGCTGTGACGTTCACTGCGCCAACTAGCGGTGGGGTATCTGAAGCTGGCTCGTAACCCGAATTTTGGCTCACAACTCAAAGCAAAAAATCGGCCGAGAGACAGCTCGTATCTCGAAAAACTCGTTAGTCGGGACACTCGTAAGTCAAGGCCCTGCTGTATTTTAATTCAGTCTCCTTTTAACGAATTGAAGCATGTCTTTGCTTTAGTGGGTTGGTGGGAAGGTGAAGAGAC